TATACACACTGTACATTAAATATATATTTATATCATCTACTGACACAACAATATACACTTTACATTAAATATATATTTATATCATCTACTAACACAACAATATACACACTTTACATTAAATATATATTTATATCATCTACTAACACAACAATATACACATTTTATATACATTATATATAAAATCTTAGAGTGTCCGAAACAACCTATTTTTGTTTCGGACAACCAGATCCTGCCTCCCGGTTGGCCTGTGGACAACTAAGAAAAAAAGATCTAGATTAAAGTTTTCCTCCACGGGTGTTYATCGTTGTAAAAATGAATGGGAGAAAAAACTTGTTAAAGCCATCTAGGGATCAAACTGACAGTTCTTTCACCCAATAAGGAGAACTACAGTCAAAGTTTTACCCAATCAGAAAAGAGCAGGGTTTGTAGTTAATCATAAATATCTTCTAAATTTAACCAGGTGTTTCAATGCCTTTAAATTACACAATAATTTTACTGGAGAAACTTGTCAGTTTGGTTAAAAATATAGTAAAAATCGTTTTTTTTTTTCTGTGCAGAGAATTTTCTGTGCAGAGAATTTTCTGTGCTATATTTTTTAACTAAATGTATCAAAGGTCTTCAGTTGAAAAAAATAAAATGACGGAAGAGCTGTTTAAAAACCTCTTTCTTCAGAAGTCTTCAGTCCTAAGAACACTAAACTGTAACTTTAATAAGGTCATGTAGACAGTATACTCCTATTTAAATAAAAATGTTGGTCCTGTAAGCAGAAAGCTTATGGATGTTGGATGTTGATTTTTGCTCTCTATTTCAAAGAAGAGGATGAGGAGGAGAAGTTGTTTTACTCAAGCAGCTCCTGAAACTCTTAACCTGCTGACTGAGAACATTTATATATAGTAAACTTAATATACAGAACAATATAGCCTACTTATTAAATTAYATTTTTATTGACATATTTTTGGACAACCAAAAAGTTTTGACAACTAGATTTTGTCAACAGGTTCTACCCCTGTAATCTACTGACACAATATACTGTACACACTTTAAATATATATATAAAATCTGCTCACAGCTGCTTGTCACCAGTGTCTGAGTTTAATTTTATTGGACAGCATGAGATTACAATGCCACATTTCTGACAGTTATGTAAAATGTAAATAAAAACTAACTCTTTATTTACAGCAGAACATAGTAAACATATCAAATCTTAACACTGATAAATGAGGTAATTTAGAATTTTCTAGCAGCATCATGGCTCTTTAAAGTTCAGGTCCATGTTTCTCTCTGAACCATCTTTTCTTTAAAGGCACAAGTGTGTAGGATTTGTKGTTTTCAGCGACATCTAGTGGTTGAGTGGTTGAATCTTCCTCCCTGGTCCTCCCCCCACCCCCACCCCCCGCTTCCACATGCAAAGGAGTTGCTACGGTGTCTCTCAGGTGTCAAAAACCTTTGATAATTCCAAC